TGTGACCAAAGTGTCACTTTACTGCTAATGCTCCTATTCAGAAAAGAACAGGTTTCTAAACCTCCTCCCAGTGGTTTTGACCTTGATGAAGACAAACTTCATGGGGCTTATTTCAAAACATGAACTTAAAGAACCTGTGAAACTCTGCCCAGGCTTCCCAGCTTAGGTATGGCTGAATGGAGAAAGTAAATAGTGAGGGCGAGAGAATTATCTTTAGCTGGAACAAAGTGAGAAGCAAAATGAGAATGTTCAGGAATTTCACGGACATGAACAGCCGTGAATGACTGTCCTCAAAGGCCATTTAGGACTTATCATCTCTGTGGGCTGACAGATAGTACCTGAAGGGAGAGGTGATGTTGGCTCCTCAGCTTTAGATGTGAGATAAATACCAAGAGACAAATCGCCATCAGGAACATGAGCAGAAATGGAAAGCACCCAAAATCCTGTACGTGTGTGTCTCAGGAGGATGTTTCAGACGCACAGGCAGGTGATACAGTGCTGAAAAGTAAAGAGGTGTAGGAGAGATTGAGCCTGCAATATGCTGAGGGGTTTTAAGTCCCAGCTGGCAGGATGCGAGTGGAATTCAAATGGCAAGTGAGCACACATAATTACGGCCTCCCCCACCTCCTGGTAGATAGGTGGATCCAGGTGTTACCTGTACTGCAGGTAACAGCAAAGGAAAGGGCAGGAACCGCAGCTCTGTGTCGCCGCGGTCACTGCGGGGGCTGCACCATCCCAGAACTGCTGTCACACTGCTGAGCTCACAGGGACCCTCCCGCAGCTCATCTCGAGCGGCAGCTGGCCTAGACAGAACAAGACCCGGAACACGAAGGGCTGCACCGCCCGAAGGAAAACAACGTCCCCGTCGGCACTTGACCTCTGAGCTGCCTTTGTGTGCAGCGAGCCCCGTGCCCGGCTCCGTCCCCGTCCCTCGGCTGCTCGCGTCCCTCCCGAGCCCTGCTGGGCAAACAGTGACACCCTGCCCTGGCTGCGGCTTCCTGCAAACTCCCACTGACCTGGGGAGCTAGACAGCCAGTCTGAGACCCAAGGGAAGGGGCCCTTCCCTTGCCTCGAGCTGGTGCTGCCGCTGATAAGCCTGTAAAGTGCTTCAGCTCTTGTCCTTCTTCACTTATAATGATCTTTGCAGCCCACAGTAAATTATTCTTTTTTATTATCCTATGGGAATTGATGTATGTTGCTTTATGGCTAAGATTCATAGGGCATATCACCTTCCCAGCTCAGGAGGAAAAGATGTGCCGAGCTACAGGGAAATACTCTATTTTCATGAAGTGTTTCTTTGCTGAGAAGCTTTTCCCTCAGAGGTCAGTGCTGGTGACTGCAGAGAGGATGACACCTGCAGTTCCCATTGCAACAGTTGAGTGCAATTGATTTACACCACCTGGAATTAGAGATCTTCCTTGAAGCTAAGGTTATCATTTTTAAAGAAAAGTGACCCTGTCCCTTATGTTTCAAGAAGTTCTGTCTCTGAGAGACTTTTTTACAAGGAGTTAACTGATTGCTGATGAACTGAAGGTGGTGAACATGGTTGTAAAGCTGACAGTGACACTCCTAATATTCCAGCAGATCATTTTTCCATGCCATGGTCAGTCTGACTACTTAGGAGTTTCATGAGGGATCCATTTTTTGTCTGCACAAACCATAACAAAGGTGTCAGCTGGCAGTTCATTAGTTCTCTATTCAGAATTTATTCTGCATCATTTTGTTAAGCTCCAAAGCTGAGCCACTTTATATTTGCTTATCTGTGAAGTGAACAGTCCAGCTGCCTGGAAAGTGCTCTACTCAGATCCTCTCCTTCCCAATGCCAGTGCCAGGGGCTTGCTCCTGCTTCTGTGGGGTTTTCGAGCAGCTGGAGCACAGGCCACAGGACACACGGAGCTTTGTGCTGTTGCTCTGTGTGCTGGTGTGGTTTGGTGCTTGATGATTGAGATGGCAGAGAAGCTGTGGCTGCCCCACCCCTGGAAGTGTTCCAGGCCAGGTTGGACAGGGCTTGGAGCAACCTGGTCTACTGGAAGGTGTCCCTGCCCATGGCAGAGGGGTAGAATGAGATAAGCTCTAAGGTCTTTTCCAACCAAAACCATTATAGGATTCTATGACACTATTTTTCCCTTTTGCAGAGAGTTTCACAGGGAGTAAAATAAAGCCTCCCTCGCCTAATGGACATGCCCTTGGAGCTGTCTGTCCCTTTCACTCCAGGGTCACTCTCCACTGATGTCCAAAGTGCAGGTCATGCCTGCTGTTTTTAAGCAATCCTGTCAAACCTGTAGAAGTGCACCCCTGCAAGCAGCTGCCACAGCAGCACCCACACTTCAGGAGCTGCTCCTCTCACTCCCACAGGAATCCCACCCTGTTTAAGAGCTCTGGTATTGCAGATGCAAACAGGGAGGGAACAGGCCTTTTGTAGACAGAAATTTCTTTAGGCTTAGGCTATATACTGGATAAAGCACTGATGTAACAAATTACAGCCATCTGCCTGCTGCACAGTGCTCTAGGACACCTCACTTAGGAAAGAGAAGGACCCATAAAATAGAAAACCTTTTTATCTTTTTCAAAACACAGCAAGAATAATGCTTGTGAGACCCAACATCCACTAGTGATTAGCCATCAATACAGCTCAGGCCATTCCTCCCTTTCCCGACTCAATCTTTACAACCCAGAAACTGCCTTTTGCTGCTGCTACACACAGTGATTTTACAATACTAACAAGATTTCAAATAGTGATGGTAGAAGGGCAGATTTATATATTTTGGCTTCCAGTTCAGATTGTAGCTTATGATGTGGGCTAGTGTAATTCTAGTTCCTGGCTGGACATATGGCAATTCAGGGGCAGGCTGCTATTAAAAAATCAATTAGGACTGAAATATAGCTTCTGGTATACACACTGTAAATCCAAACTTACCCTTAGGTGTCCTTCACTGGATCAGTACCATCACGAGGTGTATCTGACCTATTGACAGCTGAAAAAAGTAGCTTAATTTTAGGTCTGTTATGAATGTGAAAATTTGGTAGAGGCTGAGTTTCATAGTATCGTAGTATGTTAAGGGGTTGGGATGAACCTTAGAGATCATCTAGTCCCAAACCCCTGCCCTGGGCAGGGACACCTCCCACCAGACCAGGTTGCTCAAGGCTTTATCCAACCTGGCTTTGAACACTGCCAGGGTTGGGGCAGCCACAGCCTCCCTGGGCAACCTGTGCCTGTGTCTCACCACACTCATATTAAAATGATTTTAAAGGTAGGGAGAGATAATGGAGGAGAATGAGGTTAAATAATTATATTTTTTCCCTGAACGGGAAATATTTTTGAGGAATTTTATTGTTTTGACTAAGATATATCAATCATCACACAGTTCAATATTTTCCAACATTTTAGGATTATTTAATATTTGCTTAGCTGCCTTCTTCTGATTTATGTTACTTTTTAAATAAACAGTGTTATTCTGGAATTCCCTCTAAAAATACTGGCACAAATATTTTTAAGTTCAGTGTTCCCATATTTTCAGTCAAAATCTGATCCAGAATTGTGAATAGTTTGGTATCAAGATGCTCCTGAGGTTTTTTTCCAGCAAGTTTCCTCTTGGCAAGCACTCCCAGTGCTTGTTGCAAATACACAAAAATCTACTTTCTCTGCTTTTTCCTATCACAAATAATCCAAGGATCTTCTTTTAATAATCCAGGGTCTTCTTTTAAGTAGGAAGCGTTCCACCATGTGCACAAGCTTTAAAATTGCCTATCAAAATATGGTCACATAATACCTCCAAGTATGGTTCAGCTGCAGAACAAAAACTGCAGAGGAATTAAGCAGCTGAGGGATAAACACTAAACACATTTTCATAATGTGACTCAACAGAAGAATTTAGCAGACCTGTTTGGGAAAGTGCACAAGACACTGGAACGGGTATAAATATTTCCTAATAGTTTTAGGGACTGGAGCAAGCTAGAAAATTGTGGTCTGGAGATCAGGTTTCTCAGCTTTAAGGCCTGATAAGAACCAGTGGCTGCCTGACCAGGAAGTTCAGATGTGTATCTGAAGCTTCCTAAATGTGGGGAGATTACAGGTCTAATTTTTAAATTCCAATTAATCTCTTGCATAATGTTTCTCACCATGCCCTTACTCCAAAGCACATGCCTTTTTATAGACCAACCCAGTCACAGTAAACCAATGGCATGGCATAAAAACTGGCATGAAAATACAGTATTAGAAATTACAGACAGCATCCAGATTTCTGGTCTTTATCTGCTGTTTTGCTGCATTTACATGTTCAGTACTATCAATCAGCCCCTTGTCACAGCTCCCCACAGTAATCCCACATCTCTGGTACTTGCACAGTGACCCAAGTGCCTTTTATAAAGCATCATCACCATGACACGTGACCTTTCTGACACACACAAAGCTACAACACTTGCTTTCATCGTAATGAAGAGCTAAAATTAAGTTATCAAAAATACAAAAGATAGCAGTCCCACTCTTCTGTCCCAGTCTCTGCCTGTCACCCTTCATGTGATTGTGAGTGAAACTGGTTTGGGTTGTGGAGCAAAGGAGCTCCAGCTCTGTAGCGAGCTGATTCTTTAAAAGTTCGTTCCAAGTGACAACGCTTACATATTTCCATGGTATTCCTTAAGCAAGACCATGGTCATCAATCAAGAAACACATGTTGATCTCCCCAGATCACTTACAGGAGGGATGCCAAGACCCAAAAGTAGCACTGGCATCTTGATTTGGTAGTGAACAGTTTTTCATGTATTTGCACAGAGATGTGCCATTCTGGGCAGTTTCTGGATGAACATGGGGTTGGATCCCAAGCATAAATTGGCATAAATCCCTAGGTGACACTGGCATTTGCAAACAAGCAGGATGTGCCTGGATGTCCTGTCTTATGCTCCAGTGAGCCTCTGTGGGCAGTTAGCTGCACAGGTTGCAGTGCCCTTCCGGTAATTGATCGCTAAAGAAGCAGTTTTGCAAATCAGTGTTCTTTTCCCTGCAGACTATAGAAATCCATTTGTGAAGATTCACCCAGAGCATCCTGACATAATCTACATTTCAGACGATATGGAAACAGTTGTTGTCCCTTGCCGAGTCACCTCACCAGATATCAGACCTAAGCTTATCCAGGTAAGTGACTGTTTCAGAGAAGCTCAGTTCAGAGGTCTGGGCTGCCAACACAATGGGTAAAAACACAAATTAAGATATATGAAGCTGGGTAAGTTCCAGAAAAAAAATAACAGACACACTGAAAATCCAGTAGCAGGTCCTGCTCGTGCAGTGTGTTACTATTGAACTGGGTACAAAGGTGTTTTGGGGATTAGGCTGAGTTTATCATGTATTCTTCTCATCTTGTGGCTTGATGTTCCTCCATAAATTGGCAAAGATAGATGACAAAGCAATATTTTTCTTCAAAATTGATAGAATAACACCTGACTATTAGCTCTCTCATGAAAGCTTCTTTCGTTGATGTCTTGAACCTCCTGTGAACAGTTGCCCACTTTGGCTTCATTTACCAATTTAAACCAAGTTTCAGCCTTGGGAATAAATGGCTACAGCATCCATTCCTTCAGCAGCAGTTACACCTTAATGTCAAGTTTGCAGAATGGTCTATGGAGGCCAAGGCTGGTTTGGATAATAAAAATGAAAATGTAAGGTCTGGGGCTTCCTCAGTCCATGGAGGTCTAGTCACTCATTTGAAGGGCTTTAGAACTGCTCGACATGGAAGCCTTTCATGGAGTGAGGAACAGAACATAGGTCTCCTGGCTCCAGTCCTGCATTTTACCTCATAAGTTATATGCCTTTCCATTTTCCTGCCAGGATGTCTGTTCAGGTGTCCTAATGGGAACAAGAGCTCATCCTTTGCCTCTGCCCCTTTCCAGCCTGTTCTGGAAGGGCTGTGAGAGATGAGGCTGTTCTGAACACGTTGTGAGAGCAGAGCACATGCAGAGAGGCTGATGCTGCACTGGGAGAGGGGTCTGAGCACCTCTGCTCCTCTTAGCAGTTAGATGTCTTAGATGTCTCCTTCTCCTGGGAGACAGCACATGGAATCACAGAGGCCTGAGACAGTGCTCTGGCTCCTGCTGAGCCCCATGGCACGTTTCCAGTAGACGTGCAGAGGGACAGCACAGGCCTTATTGCTTTAGCAGATCTCTATTTTTAAATTTGTCAGGAGGGATTAAAAGGGGGGAATAAAGGCTCCTGTCCAGTTATAGCTTATCACTTCAGCCTGGATAAGTGTTATCACCTTCCCTCCTCAGCTATAAAAATGAAACATGCCCAACTTATTTTAGCCTGCTTCAACCAAATTCATGACTGGAATAATGCTGCTGAATGCAGCACAGCCACCTGAGCCTCAGTGTGGCCTTGGAACCCTGACCACACAGACCTCCACATGTCCTTCCTTATTTATGGGCAGCCCTGCTCTCCCTGCTCGCCGGCTAAATTCCCTCCTGGGGATTTCTCCAACACAAACCACAGCCCTTTACCTTGCCGTGAGCTGCTGCTGGAATGAAATGTCCCTTCTGAATTACAAAGAAAATTGCCCTCGAATGATTTTCCCGTTGAACGGGGAGAAGCTGGACGCAGGGCAGGGATGTGGATGCTGGGCACCGCTTCCCAAAGGAAGGCTCCAGGGTCCGAGAGCTGTCTCCACGCACGGGGAGGTGTGTGTGGGCTCTGGGCTGCAGCCACGGAAAGTCATGGCTTGTTTGGCCCCGTCTGGAATTCCATAGCGCCGTGTGGAGCCAAGGTGGCGGCTTCCTGTGCGGAGAGGAAGCAGGGCCGGAGAGGGGTGGAGGTAAGGATGGGGGAGGAGGGGGCAGTAAGGCGATCAGACAAATTTAGAACATCCTCTCCTTCCAGATTTACTCTACAGTAGACAACGTACTTCAAAGGGAGGAAAGCCACTGTGATTTCCTTCGAGCAGCATTGACGCTTTTTGTTTGATTGTTTAAATATATATTTTTGAATATTTTATGAAGACATTTAATATGTGTGTAGTGTTGAAAAGGGCCTCCTGAGGAGAGTTATTTTTTCTTTCCCCTTCCCCTAGCCATCAGGGAGCAGAGCTGCCAAACCATGAAGTTCAGCTTTATCACATTTTATTATTCTTGTAGAAAATGGACTTTTTTCCACCGTAAATTAAGTTCCTTATGTTACCATTATACTTTAAAATCATTGCACTCTCTGGCCTTTAAATATGTATGGAGAAAGGTACCTCCTGCTAATATTAAGCAGATCCTAGCAAACTCTATATATCATCTTTGTTGTTAATGAACTCATGCTAAGACACACAATTTGGACTTTTAATTTTCGTTAACATGATTTTAATTCTGGGTGAAAAAAACCATTTTCAGTCATGTCAGATCTGTTCAGTCACTGATCTGCTTCAACATGCATTTGCCACTTACAGCTTTGACCTTCATGAGTGCTAAGGCATGATTAAGCCCCAGATCTCAGATCTCTCTGTGTAATTTGTATTAGTTTTCCTAGTGGTTCTAAACAGAGATGTCACAGCTTGATTACTTCAAAAGCATTTACATTTAATTCTTGTTTCCTACTACTGTCAGAAGAGAACTGCTGCTCCAACAACAGCAACTGTCTCATTGTGCCTCCTGCCCCACACAACATCACCAGTTCTTGCCCTGCAGCCACAATCCTTTTGTTGGTCTGTGCAGTAATTGTAACAAGTGACCTAAACCAATGCCAGCCTGATCACTTGTGTATTCAGAGGAGAGGTCTGAGCCTCAGCTCTCAGAGCCTGAAGCTGCAAGTTCTGTGAAACAGGAGTATTATTTAAACAGAATCCTATTTAAGCTGCAGTGCCAAACAAGAGAACTGGTTGGTTGGAGACAGAAACAGAGATTGCACACTGCATAACAACAGGAATAGAAGCAAAACTATTACACTGGTGTCGAAATTCCTACTTGCAATTCTTCCCTTGGTTAGCTCCAAAAGTTAAACCAAGGTCTGTCTGAAAATGAGAACATCAACTTGCCTCACCTTTGAGCAGCCAGACTATGAGAAGGAAGTGGGAGCAGCACTGTGCAAATAAAGTTAGTTACCATGTCACACCTATAGGCACACTGAGGTTTCCCCAAACCCTTCAATTTTTTAGGCAGAAGTGATCCTGAGTCCTAAAGAGCTTCCTGTGTCTGGGAAAGTCAGTGCTTCCATTCACCTGCCTGCAAACAGGCTGAAATGGAGATTTCAGCTCTTTTACACACTCCTGAGCTATTTGTCTGCATTTAATTTCTCATATTTCTTTTCTACATTATAAGCCAGGATTTTCAAAATTATTGGAAAGTAAATTGCATTTTCTCTAGCAAATAGAGGGTTTCCCTGTGTGTTAATAATGACAATAACCTAATTATTCCCACCGACCTAAGCCAACATGTTTGACACTGATGCTGTCCAAGGGTTCATTCTCATTAAACGAATATTTGCTCCAGTTTATTTGCCTTTTGTATTCTCACTTCTTCCTCATGAGCAGAGTGTTTTCTCAAGAATCTCAGAACATTCCAAATACTTATGAATTTAGGACAAAAAATGTCTGTTACTAAGTCACCTTGTTTCTGCCATCCTATGATTTACACTTGTCAGTCACCCAAGCTGCCCTGTGGAAATCAGTAGGCTGCTCTGAAAGTGACTCCCCCTGTCCTGTGGTGTAGAGAATCCAATGACTGGCCACAGACCACAGCTTGTAGGTAACTGCTGTCAGGTGAGTTAGTGACATGAGTAATTCTGATTTTGGGGGATCTAACTACACAGATATTTTAAAGTACTGTGAGATCCCAGGAAGATGTGTGGTAGCTACATGTGGCATTGGGAGAAGCAAATTTTGCTCTTAACCACTTCTAAAATGATTACCCTGCAAAATTCATGTAAGATGGGCATAATTAGTTCCAGTAAAGAGATGAGGGACATAAGAGCTACAATGGACATCTTGCCTAAGATCTGAGAGGACTGGGGCTACTGAATCAAAAACCCTGTTATGATGTCCAAGTTTTGGATTTCAAAGACAGTCCTACCTTAGGGAGGGCTTTTCTATTTGCTTAAGTTGATGTTGCTTAAGATATGTATGGAATGAGACCACCAACCACTGTGACAGGTCAAATATCTCCCCTGCCTCTAACACAGAACAGCCTTGGCTGGTTGCCTCGATGGTCTGAGGGGAAAGGGAATGTCTCACAAGCCTCCTTGTCTGTTCTTTCAGTATCCTTCTTCTGTAGAGATCAACTTCAAGAAGATGGTGTGGGACCCGAGAACAGGATTTGTCATCCCCTCTCACTCTTTTGTTTACTTTGGAATGCTCATATGCTCTGCAAACATCAATGGAAATGTGTTCAACTCCTATTACCTGACTCAGAGACTAGGTGAGTGACCACTGCACACCAAGGCATGACCACAATATCTCAGTTTCATAGTAAGCCTCTGGGTATTATTTCTTGGTCAGCCTTAGTTATATTTGATATATCTAACTGGTATGTATCTGTAGCAAGTCCAGGCTGGAATGCTGAAAGCAAACTCATTCTTCCCCTTTTTCCCTATTCAGTAGAACTTGGATTTAATCCACTCCTAGTTTTGAAAAATTACCAAGTGTTGAGGTGGTACAAAACAGGAGTGTTTTATTCAAACCCCACCAAGGCTTTTTTTTTGCTTGAGTTGAGCTGTATTTACATGAAAACAACTGCTGGTTTAGCATAAACCAAACCTTTTTGTTTCTGATCATTAAACACGCATGATCACGGTATAAAAACCTCACTAAACTGCGAATTCAAATTTTTGCCTTTTTTATATGTTTTCTCTTGGTGATTTACTACACCATTTCCATTGTATTTACAGTTGAACTTCAGCTCATGATTAAAATTTGAATTTGAAGGAACTAGACATTAAATTTTTGAGTGCTTGGCATTTATATGAGGCCAATTAGATTTTATTTTTCTTTTGTTTTCAATATATCTTATATTTATTGTGACTTCATTCCCATTAGATCATGGCATCCTTCTGTACAATTAGCACTCAGCTTCAAATGACAGACTTGTATATTTGTATGGCAGCCAAATCAAAGTCCCCTCTCTCTTTCTTTCTTCACTGTTGGAGTAATTTTTTGCTAGAATCATGACTGCAAAGCTAAAAACCTCTTGGGTCATCCACCTACAGCCCAAAAGGACACAAGCAATCCCTTACTCTATCTCATGTTACCCTACAGGGGTCAGGTGTGTTTGGTACGGGGCACCAGGAACATGATGCAGGCTTACTTCAGAGCTGGTGTTTTTAAGGGATCAAGAATATGTCAGACCAAGATTTGAGGATCCCATTCACAAAGGAAAGGGTCATGAGAGGGTAGGAGAAACATGTTTCGTGCCATCCAGAAATGGATCCTCTCGCAGATACACATGTCAAGACCCTCAAAAGGATGAGTCACTTATGAAAACTCTTTCTGAGGATGCTGATGAGGGAGGGTTGGAGCCAAACATGGCAAATCCATTCATAAATGACCCTGTCCATGTGATCAGTTAGTGTGATCAGCTGCTCATCAGGCATTTACACAACTGACCTAATGTTTCCATTGTGTGGGTATTTTCAACAATTTCCATAGAAATGCCAGAAGAAGGTGAGGTGTTTTGGAAAGTGAAAGGAAAAGATGTTGAGGAGGCAGCTGGACTGTGGATTCCACCCTCTGTGTGTTGCTGCAGGGAGTGCTCATGGTTATACCTTTGCCTTTTTCATTTCAGAGGACAGAGTATGGAACCTGACCTTGAAAGCAACTCCCAAAAAACTGCTGGTTGGAGAAACACTCGAGCTGGAATGCAGAGCAGAAACCTTCATCAACGGGCGCATTGAGTTCAAATGGACATGTCCTCGTTGGACAGTGAGTTTATGGAAATCCTCTGTTTTACTTTCATGCATCTCCCCCTACCCAGAAGAAAGGCCTGTTTACAGGGCTCAGGAAAACCTAAATACTTCTTACTCTGAAGTGTATCCAACCATTTATAAACTTACAATCGATTGTATTTTAGTTTGGATGAATTTAAAACTTACCTGAACTTCTTGAACCTGCAGATTAAGCTGCAAATCTCAGGCTAAATACACCCTGGCAAGAAAATCCAGGAGTGTGTGCTTCTTGTTTGGAAGAAATCTCTCTCATTTCTTCTGCCCTGTTTGTCTCACAGTGGCAAGTCTGAAAGACAGCCATGGAGATTTCAAGTTGTCAGTGAAGTAGGAAAAAGTGAAACAAAAGCCAGTTGTGTCTGCTGAAATTACAACCAAAGAATGAAATCTAAATTCTGAGTGTAGATATGTGAGCTTTCTGTAAGATACAATAAAAAACCTGCCAAGTTTTAAGTAGAATCATGTAAGAGACTGCACATTTGCTTTGAGGTACCAACCCTTTCAGTTCTCCTAAGGAAAAACAGAAGGAAGAAGGGGTGTTTTTCAAAACAATTCATTTATCTGAGATTCTCTTTCATGGTTCTGTTTGGTGCTTGGAATTAAAATGATAGGTTTTTCTTCAGCAAAATGCACATTTAAAAGAAGCATCTAAGCCTCTTGGGAAAGTGTAAAATGTGATTCCTAAAACTGATTAATTTTGACTTATTTACTTAAAGAAAGAGTGGCTGGGTTTGTTTTGGTGAAGAAACTACAGAAAATATAACATAGATTTTACAGAAGTGCAAGCACTACTGTGTCACTGAATTTTGTTTCTTGGGTCCCATATGGTGGAAGAGAGTTGTTTTCCTATGAACTCTCTTTATATTTCTAACATTATAAATGTAAAATTTCTTGGCCAAATCTCTTGGATCAAAAATCCTATCAGAAGCCATAATGCCTTCTAAAAATTCTTTGGGAATTTGCATTGGCTCTTGACTGTCATAATATATTATATTTCTGTCATAATATATTTCTTTTAGAAAGTAGGAGGCTTTTAATACAGAAACATACTGACTGTGACCAAAATAAATTAAGTAAAACACCAAAACCAAAACACCAGAGCACAGCTCTGCCCCTACAGATGCCAATGGCAGTTTGGCCCTGAGATCCCTGGGATTTGATCACAGAGAAGGGCTGAGCTGTGATGCATCCCCTTATTTACCTGCCTGCCCAGATTTCAGTAGAGAAGCATCACAGTCCCACTTGGTTTCTCTCGCTTATTAGACTTGATAATGACACCTCACACAAGAGCTCTTCCTGCTGCTAAGTCTTTCATATTATTTATTTCTGTGATGGGAAGGTATGATAATTTTGATATGAATCACTGCTTTTCTTTACTGGAAGACTTTGGAAGGGTGAACAAAAGAATCCAGTTTAAGCTGCTTTCTGTCCCTGGTTTTTTTTCTGACTTGCAGCACCCTCGTCCTAAGAAAGAAATGGACCAGAGTAGTGTAGTGTATAAAGCTGGCAGTAGCCTGAAAATTGAAAATGTCACCATGGAAGATGGAGGCCTCTACATCTGCAGAACATTCAATGCCACAGGGCTGGAGGCCAACGTCACAGTTACAGTGTATGGTGAGTGCTGCAGCTAACCAGGGTACCCAAGGACCAGAATTAGTAAGTTTAAGGCATAATGCCACATTGTTAAATCTGTTGATATAGAAATGGCATTAGGAAGAATGTCAACTAGTTAAAACAACCATTAATCATCTATAACCTCTAATCAGTCAGTGAGGGAGTCAGCACCCAGCACTGTCTTCAAACAAGTTCAAGAAGGTACATTTAGATGGGATATAGGGAAAATTTTTTTCCCTGGAAGGGTGGGGAGGCACTGGCACAGGTTGCCCAGAGTAGCTGTGGCTGCCTCATTGCTGGAAGTGTTCCAGGCCAGGTTGGACAGGGCTTGGAGCAACCTGGGCTAGTGGAAGGTGTCCCTGCCCATGGCAGGGGCTGGAATGAGATGAGCTTTAAGGTCCCTTCCAACCCAAACCATTTTGGGATTCTGTGATATCTGAGTACATGGATTAACTGGGAGCTGAACTGTTTTGAAAAAGCTGGCACCAAGTGTGGTTGCTGAGGCCCTGGAAAATCTGGCCTGCTGGCATTGACATGGCCACGAGATACCCCAGGCATTTTCACACACTGATCCAGGGGCAATGCAGGTGGATATTCTCTGCTTTATATGTGATGCCCTTCATGTGTAAACAGCCCTTCCTGGATGTGGCTGCACTGCACAGAGGAGCTGTAGTGACAGCTTGTCACTCCATTTTGTCAGCAGCTCTGCAGATCTGTACTGGAAAAAATCCCAGGTAGACACAGTTCAATTCACAGGTGTGAGCTCTGTCCTCTGGCAGATCTGCCATTCCTTGTCTTCCTGCTCATTCCTCTTTCCAGACAAACCTTACCTTACGGTTTCACATAAGAAAGGACCTTACTACGAGATTGTCTCAGGACACAAGTCACTCAAACTGGCTGCAAAGGTGGATGCCTTTCCTCGTCCAAGTGTCACCTGGTGAGTACACTAATTGTGAGAAAAATCAGGAATATGTGACCTTCTTCAGGGCTTCTGTCTGGAATAGATTGTCAATGTCTCTTAAACACAGATCAGACAGGAGATGTGAATGCTCAGAGCTGTGGGCTTACAGTTCAGCTAAGGAGATGTGATTCTGCTGTGGGCTGCCTTAGCTCTGTGGAGCTGGGCAAGCCATTCCTCATTCCCATGCTGTTTTTCTCTTACAGTCATGTAGAAAAGGTCCCTATAGAAAAAAATGGGGTTTTCACTTCCCTGGACATAGAACTTCTTTGGGAGATTCAAGCAGAAAGCTCTGGGGAAGGGTTACCTGTTTACTCCCATCAGTGCTGGTCAGTCTGCAAGGAGGTAGGGTAGAAATAGAAGTAGCTGCAGAAATAGAAAGCTGCAGGATACATTCTCAGCATGAGAAATTGTTTCTCTTCATAACTTTGAAATAATTTCCTCCAATTCTGTACCACCAGATTCTTGCAAACAATGCAGTGAATCCTTCTGAGCAAACTAAAGGCTCTACCAGGACTGTAATGGCTCTGCTAAACAGGAGGGGCAACACAGCAGCATCTCCAGGAGACATTCATGTCTCTCTACTCTTTCATCATTTGTCCTCTCTCTTGCTACTTTTCTGTTTCATTCTGCCCTTTAACAACCCCACCCAAGGCCTTAGACATCTTTAACTGCGTGAAATCCCATGGGACAGCTGGCATGGGCATGCCTGTCCTGGCAGAGAAGGTGGCTTGGGTGTGTTAGCACCTGCACAGGGCACCTGTCTTGGCCAGCTGAGTGCCTGGCAGTCAGCAGAACGTATTGCTCAGGGCTGGTTTTGCTGTGTTATTTTAGCAGTGAAATAGCATGAAATTCTCTAATATTAGTCAAAACAGTGAAATGAGTGCTGCCAGGAGGTATTTTTAATTGCTGCTGTTATTTAGGGATGGAAATGTTTTTAAGAGTTGAAGTGGGGACTGACCACTTCTCTCTGCCAAGGCTTTGTTCGTGGGCTCAGCGTGGAGCTGTTTGGTGCTGCCTGGGACCACCAGAGCTGCCTCCCCTGCATGCTCAAAGCTACAGCTGTTGATGTTGGAGGTCTCTCAGTATGGTTGTTTAAACGACTGTAAAGGAAGTCTCCAGCATTCTCAGGCAGTAGGACACATGCCCCAGGTTTTCCTTCCACCAAGCCTAAAGCTCTGTGTGTGGCAAGGTCTGGCCTATTTCCTAATCATAGCCCAAATCTGCATTTTGGGTTAGCAGTGAAGAGGAACCTGGTTGTGCAGACACTGCTGCCCTACTCCTGGTGAAGATTCCTGGCTGGGAATTCCTTATTGACTGTCTTTCTCTAGGTCATAGACTTTGATTTTTCAGAAACAGTAAAGGGTCACATATACATATTAAAAGACAATTCTGCTTAATTAATCTCTTCTTTTAAGACTGATAACATACACCTTGCTAACCCATGCTTTCCTGCACTCAGCATTGCCCACACAGTATAATTTGGGGGTACGTAGATGTAAATTTCTGATCACAATTGAGCATGTGAGAGGCACTGTTCATTCAGGTCCATTCAAATGTCTTTTTCCTGTTTATTGGATTAAGCCATCCACAGCACCACAGATGCTGCACAGTTTAGTGTGGGAGGATAACAAGAATATATATCCAATTCAAGCAGTGATTATAGACCTTCATTTCCCTTGCTGGTTCCCCAAGATGACTTTTTACTACCCCCCTAATGTGAGTGACAGGTTTTCTGAGGGCTAATATGCATGCAGGGACATGATGAGCCTTAATGGGACTTCCAAAACAGGTACAAAGATGGCAAATTGATCAAGGATAACCACACCTGCTATGAGCCAGATCCAATAAAGTACAGACTGGGGATACGAGACGTGAGACCAAAGCACGCTGGGAACTACACCATCGTCCTGAGCAACGCCAAGTATGGCCTGTACAAGAACCTCACCATGCAGCTGGTCGTGACAGGTAAGGCCTGCTGGGTTATTCATCATATTCAGATGGCAAATTGATCAAGGATAACCACACCTGCTATGAGCCAGATCCAATAAAGTACAGACTGGGGATACGAGACGTGAGACCAAAGCACGCTGGGAACTACACCATCGTCCTGAGCAACGCCAAGTATGGCCTGTACAAGAACCTCACCATGCAGCTGGTCGTGACAGGTAAGGCCTGCTGGGTTATTCATCATATTCTGTGTGATCACACCAGCCAGTCAGGAATGGGTGACATTTCCTGGTGTTTAGCGGATAGAGCACTGCGCATAGATCACCACCTTACTTAGGAACCACTGAAGATCCCCCTCATTTCACCAAGTTAATGGAAGCAGGAGAATGGAGAGCTGCTCTGAGGAGTTAGTCTGAAACTAGGTCATCTACAGCCTCTTTCCACCGAGACACCTCAGACAGCTGCAGCACCGTGTGGCAGCACAGTGGCTCCACAGAGGGAGGCAGAAATGGCTTGAAAGTGCACAAACTTCACAGGACTTAAAGTTTAATAGGAGTTTGAGAGGTTATCTAGTAGTGAGGTCTTAGAACTAGGGGCACAGTTTCCCAAGAGAAGTGATGGAAGTTTTATCCCTTGGGATTAAAAACTAGCTTGGGCAAAGCACTGGAGAACATCTGTTGGGACAGGAAGAGTCCCAGTGGGGCTGACGGAAGGAACTGGATAAGCTGCCGTGGCTTTTATGTCTGTCTATCATCCTGCCCCAGATACACTTTCTAAGTCTGTAGTTTATGGTTTGTCATTTATCTGCTGGGAGCACTTGAGAGACAGGTTCAGTTTCAGGGGAATCTGAGAAAACTGCAGTAAACTGTAGTGTGCACTGAAGCAGGTTCACTTGCTGTAGAGAGAAAACAGACATTGGAATCCCATTTATTAATCTCCCTTGCTGGGGTAGGGGAAGACAGAGCTACATTGTCTCTTTGTCCATCCAGTGCCTGTTTTAATCCACTGAATTTGGCAACAAAGATTGAATCATGAGGCCGAGTAGGAGTTCGCAAAAGTTAGCTCTGCTTCCCTTTGTATTTCTTGCGTTTCACTTGGGCAGTGAGGGAGATAAAGATTGAGACAGGTTTGCTTTCTTTTCTGTGGTGAGTTCTTCTCTCCTTACCCTCTTACACCTAAAAATATTCTCAATTGTCCATTTATTTATACAGTTATGTATTGTTGCACCATATAACTTCCAGCAGTTGTGTTTTTCTCATTTCACCTTTCAGAAAGGAATAATGCCTAAAATTGGAGAACTTGTCACCTAGGCACATCTGAAAAACACTAAATAGGATAGGGCAGCTTAAAAATTCTTAAACATGTCATAAACTAGTGTGTGATTTAGGAGTGGAGAGAACTAAGAACATGCTTATGGTCAGGTACTGCAGCTCAGTTGAGGAGGAGGAATGTGTTAGGCTGCATAATTTGTTCACTTGAAAACATACAATGGTTTTGCCTTCTGTAAAGCAAACGGAAACCTTCAAAGGAAGAGAAAATTAAGAATGATAATAAACTATCTTGTCAAGGTAAATATTGGTGTTTGCGTGCAAAAGAGAACGTTTACTTGAAGAGCAGCCGTTCCCCAAATAGGCATATAAAAAACAAACAGACCTTGTTTCTATCAGCAAGATGCTATTTCAGGATTAAACCATCCCATGTCCTCATTGCAGTACAAGCCTTTCATCTCTATTGTCTGTCCAAGACTGTGGCATTCCATCTCTCACACACAGTGCATGCCTAGGGTAGTGCTCATTGTTAGCCTTTCTGAGGGGTCAGCCCAGCAAAGACTTCATCAGCAATAATTAGTTAATTGCAAAACCACCATTTCTCAAGAGACTGCGAAGTCCAGCAGCTGCAGGAGTGTTCCCTAATGGAGGAATTGTCATGTGCTGAAGCACAGGAAAAATGCACTGCGAAGTTCTCTTTTCTGGTGAAAGAAAGTCATGGCAGAAAGGAGAGCAAGCAAGGAAAGTACCTGCCAAGGAGTGCTGTTGGTTTGAGGCTGAAGGCTGTGGACAATGAGGGTGTTTGTCTTGGTTGTAGGCAGGACTGCCACAGAACACACAGGGAATGTCTCCTGCCTCATCCAGACTGCAGCACTACCCTGACATACTGTACCTGAAGCACTCAGCCCCAGGAGAGGCTGATTTTGCTGACAATCATGTGGGTAGAGACTAAAAAGGGCAAATTTTGCTCTTGAAGCTTATCCAGTGGCAGCAAACTGCCCTTTCTCTTGTGCTTTCTATCAGAGGAAAGGGATTGCTTTTCCAGACTGGGGCATCCTTTGCTTTCCTTTCAAAACCACTCTGAAGCTCCAAACTAAATGCTGATTGGAATTCTTTCCTTAACTCTCTGCAAATAACCTGACACTTTATCTCCAGTCATCATGACTGATGTCCTGGTATCACACCTGGATAGATTAAATTGCTTGGAGTTTCAGCAGACTCTTAGACATGGAGAAGTAGACCAAAACACACTTTGTAGCCCTTTTCTGCAGGGATTACCTTGCTCACCACTGAAAGAAACTACATCTGAGCTGGAGGTGTGATTAATGTCTCTGCTTAGAACCACAGGCAGTCTGCAATTACTGAAGCTGGAATTTGAACACAGGGATTAGTAGACTTGATGGAAAAATCCTCTTGGGCTTCAAGTGAATGCAGTGGTAGGAGTATCAGTTTTACATCATGTCTAAAAGGTGGAGCCTGCAGCAGTTCAGCACCTGATAAACCTCATGTTGAGCAATAACCATGTACCCTCTTAGTGGGGAGGAACATTTCTTTGTGAGTAACACCAGGGCCAATCTTTACATTTCAGAGGTGCATCCGTGAAAGGGAGTGAGTTCTGCTCCATATTGTTACGCAGGAGATGGAAAAGTATACAAATAGACTTTTGAATGAGAAGATAAATGCCGTTTGAATATGTCTTCTGTTGCTGCAAGGGGACACTGCACTGAAGAGATGACCAGTAATCATACAGCCCCCTCACAATAATCCATCATGCTCCCCAGTGTCACAGGTAGCACAGCCAGCAGTCAGCATGCTGTGATGAATCCATCAACTGCAAATCTGGACTAGGTGTAGAGGAAGTTTGTAGTTAACAGTATTGTGAATTGTTTTTCATGACCAAAGTACGAATAGCAGTAGGACTCATTCATCAGATTACACTGTATTAATTTTTGCAGTGTATTTTATTTAGTAATAATGGCAGCAGAGGAGAACTCTTTAAAGCAGGATGAGAACAAGATCAGAAGTCACCTGCCTGAGCCCTGTATGCAGTGTCTCTCCTGACCTGCATTGCTGCAGCTTTCCTTGGAGTCACCTCCTGGATACTTAATTGGGAGCAATCACAGTAGTTCTGACATGCACTGTATGTACAAGGTATTTCACTCCATGGTAATGAGCAAAATATTAGAAGCTATTTCCCCACAATGTTTGATTTGGCTATAAAACTGATGAGTACCTGTAGAGGCATCAATTCTGTCAGCTCTGCAGAGACAAGAAGGAGCAAAATGGACAAATAACTCTGGAGCAATGCTGGCCTGAGGCGAGGACCTGGCTGACAAGGTACAGGAAGGAGCTGCCTGGCCTGGAGGAGAATTGTGCTGCTATTCAAAAAAATGTCTCTTTAAGAAGTGGCTTAGCTGTGCCTCTGGTCACCCCTGCTCCCACTGCATCTGGAATTTAATCTTGCAGGAGCACATATCTCCATGTGGAGTCACCTTGGCTCATTGTAGGACTCAAGTCCCCAGGAGGTAGCTGATTGCATTTTCAAAACACTCCTTCTTTACATATTTACACATCAAACACTGTCCAAGAAGCGGTGGGTTGCTGTGTTTTTGTTTTGTTTGATTAAATTCTTATTGAGAAAAGCTTCAAGAAAATAATGTCCTGAAGAATTTGGAAGGGAGGGAGCAAGGAGAAGGAACAATCCTAGCAAACAGCTGGTGGCTGCACATCTGAGCCAACCAAGAGAGAGAAATGTGGGAGAAAAGAGTTATTCCGGGCTGGAGTGCAAAGCAGTTTTAGAACAAAACACAAACAACCCCCTCAAATCTATTTCTGGGCAAGCAGGCTGTTTCATTCTCACCCTTGTCCAAGGCATCTGCGTGCAACAGGGCTCCTGCTGAGCCCTTTTGGAGCAGTCAGCGTGCTCTGACCACCACATAGGGAGTGAGGAGTGTACTGAAGCATAAGTTAATTCAAAAATGGGATGAATAACCTCCTTCACCACTTTGCCTTTTGTCCCAAAGTTTCTCTCCTGCGCTCCCTCAAGGCTCTTCCAACAAATATTGCTTTGGGTTCCAGCTGCTCCAGCCAATTGAAGTTACATTCCCTCGTAGAGTCCTTGATCCCCCAAGCCCATGTTGTATCAGTAAGAAATGCAGGATTAAGTGCTAGAAATAGCCTCTACTGTAAGCAGCAGAAATTCACAGGCTCCTCATGAATTCCCTCTCTCCTGAGCAAGGACTGGAATAAAAGGAGTGCATGGAGAATTCACGTGTGCATTGCCATGTGCTCCTTGTTATGTCAGCAAGGTACTGGCTATACCTCGATTCATTACCAGGGAGAAGTAGGTCCAGGGCACTTAAAGATGTGCATGTTGCCCTACTCTGCAGCCAGGCCAGCTCTTCATATTTGGTTTGAAATTAAAGGCAAAGGGAGTTCTATGCCTGACCTTCCTTGGCTTGCAAGGGATGGGTTGACATCAAAGGAGTCCTCAGTGATATCCAGGAAAGCTATTAGATATGTGATGATCCATGTAAACAATACCCCATCGCCTCACCCAGACCCAGAATAGTCTGGAGAGGGAAGGGAGCCGTGAGGATGAGGTGATTACCTTTGGTATCTGCCAGTTCAGAGAAAAAGAGCTCTTAGAGTGGTGGATCTCAGTTAAAGCCCGTGAAGGACAGAGGGGAGACTCCCACAGTGTCTTGTGTGTGGAAGGGCCACTGAAAGCTCTGAGTTGAATGCTGCCCT